GATAAACTGCATCAGAGGTCAACCTCCTGCAATTCAAACAAAAACCCATATTTGAGCCAATCCCTCTTTCATATCCCCAGAAATCACTAGACGTCTAATGTCAGAAAACCAAGAAGAATTTTTTCTCACAGTCCACTTAATGCCCCTTTCTGCTGCTTATTACACAACTGTGGTCCAATATTCACGATATTCAACTTAACCGATCTACGAGTAGCGTATTTAATAATGCCAACTCGCCAATTCAACCAAATTTAAAGCACAGTAACTAACTGACTGTTCTGCAAACCATAATGTAGTAATCGCATATGCCAAATAGTTCTGTCATTTACAGGCGTCCTCATGCACATAAATTTGTATACAGACGCGAAAAAAAAGACAAATAAAATAAAATAAAATAAAAACGCCAAGGATAAACTGGAAGAGCAAAAATTTTTTCTGCCAAAATTAACAATCAGAAGACATTTGCCAACAAACCAACCACTGCCTTATTTTAATTCTTTCCTCTTCTTCCCTTTTTTTTCATATTACAAATAATATTACGTGAGACAAAACTGCAAGCAAATGCAAAAATAACAGCAACAGTCAGTAATGAGACCTCGAATTTCTTCTCCCAAAATAATTTTTAACTAAGGTTCAACATTTGAAATATATTAATGCACTGACGAAATCCAAAGTCTTCCTTGAAATTCAGAGACTGTTTAACACTACCAAACAGCAACAATTAAGAAGCCATAAACGAATTACAAGTCGAACAGCTGAATCAATAGCGATCAGTGACAGATATGCAAAACAAAACAAAACTAAAACCGAATCCAACTCTAAAACCAACTGATAAACAACGAAAGCAGGTAAGGGAACAATTATTCAGCATCTAACAAATGGTTAACTGCTTGTTAAATGGCATATACACATACATTCACTCAAATGTATGGACACAGACACAGAGAGAGTCTCACAGACGTCGCGGCCATACGGCATCCATACCTACTGACACATGCGCTAACAACCCCATGCATCCTGCATAGCAGCAGTTTGCTGAGCAACTGGCCAGCTTAATTACGTTAGCACTTCTCCGCACAACATAGACGGGTATATTCTCCTGGGATAATTTCTCATACCTGTTTCATCAAAACCTTGACTCACCCCTTCATTGGCTTTCAGTATCACTGACCAAACGGCCCGAAGACTGGCTGTTTAATCTCTAACACTCAGCCAACTGATTTGCAGAGGTAATCCCGTGATATGACGTCATCGAAATGGGAATTCGCCAACGCTGAGATTGTAGTTTTGGCTACTGATCGCAAAGATATATTTAGCAGTGCAAGGCTGTTGTTGCTCAAAACTAACATTTAAGACAGAAAACGTGTCAACTTATACAGGTCTCAAGCGATTTCATCCTTATACATTATAACTTATCTAATCTTTTGCGTTCTCCGCCTTCTTCCAGCATACAAAACTACATAGCTAAAATTCGAAGTGTGAAACCAAAAGAGATACGCGGCTGTTTTTCTGTTAAAAGACCGCAACCAATTTCTTCCGATAATGTCTTGGAAAAACCATATATA